ACCCCCCCCCCGATGTCCAGCACCGACGCTTCAAGATGCAAATCCTATGACGATCTCCATATTCTCCTGGCGACTGTGTCGAAGTGAAACAAATTGATTATCCTTGGCGACTTCGATGCCCGAGTCGGCACAGAACATGCTGCATGCAGAGGAGTGATGAGTCTCTATGGTCTTGACGAACTCAATGACAATGGCCTTCTCCTCCTAAGAACCTGCGCAGAACAACGACTCATCCTGACCAACACCTACTCCCGCCTACCGATGCGCAAGAAGACCACCTGAATGCATTCTCGGTCGCGACACTGGCACCTATAGAAGCGAAGAGACGAGTCCCAGGAAGTAGTCTTGAAGAAGGAGACACTATCGCCGGGACAAGAGCTTTATTAGCCTGGCGTTTCGGATTCCTACTCGAATCCATCATCAGAGACAAAAAAGCAGAAACGGGTGATTGTGGCACAAGGGGCTGCGGTATTTATAGGATGCAGTAGCCATGCTACCGCATACCTATGAACATTCACGGCTCCCCCCTTCATCTGGGATCGTCGCACTTGGTGTGATCATTGCTTTATGGCCGATATTCGAGTCGATAATTGCTGCAATTTCATCACGTGCGTTGGATGTTGGCGTGATGATTGCTCGACCATCTGACGCACCGACCCCGGTGTTGGGAAAAGTGTTCACCTTTGCCCACCCCGCATGGCTTGTTACTTCGCCTATGCGAAGTTTCAGCACGGAGTATGGAATGGGAAGCTCGTTGCACTTGTTGATGGACTGGAGGCCAGTAAACCATGATTCCGGTAGCTCCCGGCTCACGCGGTTGTCACCCCTTGCGAGAATTCGGCCTCGTCGAATTTGAATGTGTGGCCGGATCTCGTCAAATGAGCCGCAACTTGAGAGCTGGCGTCATTCCTCCGCACCGCTGCCGCGTGTTCGGCCATTCTCGTTCGGTGCTGTCTTCCGGTTTCTCCGACGTAGTTGCTATGTCCGCAACTGCACCAGATCCGATAAACGACTCCAGATGTTTCTAGCCGTGGCAGTGGGTCTTTCGGTTTCATGACCAGACGCCTGATGGTTGCCTCCGGTCTGTGTGCCACTCCAACCCCAAGTGGTGCGAGAAGGCGGCCGACAGCTTCCGAAACCTTCTTGACATACGGGAGTGCCCGCCAGGCTAATAAAGCTCTTGTCCCGGCGATCGTGTCTCCTTCTTCAACACTGGCACCTGCTGGACTATGTCCTCGTCCAGAGGCGGGACCAGCAGGCCGTGCTGGTGACAAAGGCGATAATGAATGCCGATGTGTGGACCGACCATCGCCTCGTCATCTCCAAGATGAGGATCCACCTACAGCCGCGAACGCAACCTCAAGGTAAGTTAAATATTGCTCTGTTGAATGTGCCTTCTCATCATTTCCATTTCAGCAACCAGCTGGCTCGGTGACTAACCAACCTTCCACCCACCTCTGCCGACGAGAACGCCTCCGCGAAGAACTGATGGCACCAACTATGGGACACAGTTCAGTCGACCACCCCGGCTGTCACTCGGTCGCGCACATCGCCAACCCCAGAACTGGTTCGATGATAACGACGCCGCCATCAGCAATCCGCTCGACCAGAAGAACAGCCTGCACAATGCCTACGTCAACCGCTTCACCTACGACAACAAAACAGCCTTCTACCGTAGTCACCGCCTTGTGCAACAGTGGTTGCGGCAGATGCAGGACGCTTGGACGGCTCGCAAGTCCGAGGAGATCCAAGGGTACGCGGACTGCAACGAATGGAATAACTTCTTCGCCGCTATCAAGATTACCTACGGTCCGCTAACCAAAGCAACTCCTCCTCTTCCCGACACCGATGGTATTACCCTACTCACCAAGAAAACACAGATCCTACAGCGATAGGCTGAGCACTTCAGAGGCGTCCTCCATCATCCCTCCACCATCTCCGAAGCCGCCATCGTCCGTCTGCCTCAAGTGGAGACCAACGCCGACTTCGACTTTCCGCCCTCTCTCTACTAAGTGATCAAGGCCGTCCAACAGCTCTCTAGCAGGGCAGCGCCCGGATCGAACGCGATCCCTGTTGAGATCTACAAGCACTGCGGTCCCCAACTCATGGATCATCTGACGGAACTCTTCCAGGAGATGTGGCGTCAAGGAGAAGTCCCGCAAGATTGCAAAGACGTCACAATCGTGCATCTATACATGCGGACAAGAAACTGTCAAAACTGCGACAATCACAGAGGCGTCTTGCTGCTGAACATCGCCGGGAAAATCTCCGCTCGCATTCTTCTCAACCGTATGAACAACCACCGAGAACAAGATCTCCTGCCGGAAAGCCTGTGCGGCTTCCGCCGTCATCGCGGAACCACGGACATTATCTTTGCCGCCCGCCGACTGCAGGAGAAATGTTTAGGGATGTGAGTACACATCTACTCTACTTTCGTGGATCCGATGAAAGCCATCAGTATGGCGAATCGCAAAGGCCTATGGAAAATCATGCAGAAATTCGGCTTTGCCGAAAGATTAAATCAGACAGTGCTCCACGATGGCATGACGGCACGCATCCCGGACAATAAAGCCGTCTGAGAGACATTCACAGTGACCAACTGAGTAAAACGGGGCTGCGTCCTCGCGCCTATCCCCTTTCAGGCTCATGCTCTCTGACATGCTGGTGGACGCTGACCGTGACGAACACCTTATGATCCACACCACCTACAGGACGGACGGCTGCCTCCTCCATCAGCGACGGATGCACTTTCAGTCGCGTGCATCCACAAACACCGTCCGCGAACTTCTGTTCGCCGATGACTGCGCCCTAAAGACAACTACTGAAGGGGGCATGCATATGAGCATGGATCTCTTCTCCACCGCCTGCGAGAGCTTTGGCCTGATCATCATCAAGGAGAAGACGATGGTCATGCGCCAACTGCCACCCGACGCTGCCTACTTCACACCCCAAATCAACGTGAATAACGCCTAACTGCAAGTGGTAGATAACTGCACGCATCTGAGTGTCACCCCCTCCCGCAGCACCAAAATCGACTACAGAGTGGCCGGCCGGATTTCCGAGGCCATCCAAGCCTTCGGTCGTTTGAAGTCGTCATGGTCTTTAACTCAGCACGAAACTATAATTGTACATGTCCGTCATCCGTTGTTATATGGAACAGAGAAATGGACTGTGTAAATGAAGCAGGTACGCAGACTCAACCACTTCCACCTCACTTGTCTTCGTTGAATACTGAAGGTGATGTGGCAAGACCGGATCCCAGACACGGCCGTACTGGAGCGGACGGGAATCCTCAGCAACTACGCTATGCGGAGACAACTGCAACTACGACGGTGCGGCCACCTCGTACGGATCGACAGTTATAGGCTACCTTAACGACTTTTCTATGGAGATGTCGCGACGGGTTCAGGCAGACAGGGAGGTCAATTCCAGCGCTACAAGAATGTTCTGAAGACCTCCCTGAAGCGACTGTGGATGATCTCGGCAAACTAGGAAGACCTAGCCCGGGACCGACCTACGTGGAGAAGAACAGTGAAGACAGGCTCAGCAATCTTCGAATATAAACGCATCACCACCGGCAAAGCCATGCGTGAAACACGCAAATCTCGACTGCGCCTACATCCCAACGCCAACGCCTAACCACCTCCAGCATGCCCATGATGTCAGCGGACATTCCGGACGCCAATTGGACTTGTTGGATACCTCCGGATAAACTGCAAAACACGGACTGCACCAACCGTCGTCTCTCTGTTCACCTCTCCGTCGCCTCCCGCTCCAGCAACTAGCGTTGACCGCACTCCCGAACCACCACTTCCATCCTCCTCCTCCTCCCCCACCGCCCCAACGTCTGCCGCTGTCGTCTGCCACGCCCATCCATACTACACACATTCCTGACACACCAACAAAAACCAACATCACCACCGTCAACACTAGTGATGGCGAGGCCTGATCTATACCTCTCCTAATTGCGATCGCACCTTCGCCTCACATATTGTCCGGGTCGGCCACTTGCCAATCGATCGCACTGCGACTGGCGAACCAGTGCCTGGAGCATCAAACTACACCCGCCGCATCCGCCTCCCCTGTCCACATGGCACTCGCACATTTATTCATTGCATGAGCCTATTAGGCCACCTGCGCGTCCACGAAAACGGGATAAGAGTAGACCTGGTCAAATCGCAAAAAGTAGGTATTTGATAGATGTAAAGACAAGGGTGGACTACGTATTCGACCGTCGCCTCTACGACGGATTTTTAGAGCTGACGACCACCCGCGCAACTTCGCCAACCAGCGTAAACGGGGAACTAATCCAAGTCCCAATTTTTATCGAGCGCTCCCGTTCGTCAAAAACCTTTTGGAATTCGTCAGCCGTCGTCTCACACTCCTTGGATTTGGGATTGCACATTGGCCGCAGGCAACTATTAGAAATCCGTCCATGTGGCTGAAAGACACATTGCCACCCCAGGAGAGGCCTGAAATTGTCTACCGGATCCGGCGTATTTATGCATTAAACAGTTATGTCGGAGAAACTACAAGACTATCGTGGACGCAGATGGCCGAGCACGCAGCAGCAACGACGAAGAACGACCCCAGCTCCTATGTTGATTTGACGGAACCTGACAGCACAATCAGGTCTGACTAGACGGGAACTCTCGCGAGAGGAGGCAACCGCATGAATCATGAACTGCACGAATAGTGGTTTTCCGACCCCCAGCTAGTTAACAAACGCAAAGACGCCCCGCCTTTACGTTCTGCGGCGAAACTTTGCCAAGGCGGAGTAGTTAACCACTCGGGAACGCACAAACGAGGGATGTTTCCCTCGCAAATTTTCCCAAGCCAAGTTTCTCAAAAACCCACGTGAGTGGTGGAATAGCAGTTGCTAAGTCACTATCGCAGCGCGCGCAACCATCTGCGATCAATGCGGAGGCATTCCGTACAAACTGCATCGCTTCTACAAAGCATTACACTTATCTGATTCTGTCTCAGAGGATGGATTCGAGTGTGGGTCCGAAACGTCAGACGAATAAATTTTGATCCAGAGATCGCGTTTCCTTCCTCCCCTAGACCTGACCTGCTATATAACCTGCCGTAACTTCTCACCCAATACAAGTGGTTCACGTAAATCATAACGGCAAGGACCCCGTCACACAACTGCATTACCTGATCAAGGCTATTAGTCAGCTAACAACATGATGCAAATAGCGCTGTTTTTACTAACTGGCAGCCTATGTCCTAGGAGCCCTAACTAAGAACGACAACAAGAAAACCCAGTCGGTTATTATCATTAATATTGAAGATGTCCAACGCCTGATCATCAGGCACGCAAACGATGTGCGGGTCGACCTGTAGCGGTGCGCCCATTACAATAAAACAACTAGGACAGTCGAAGAAAAGGGACGAGAATACTAAGTCAGTTGGTCTGACGCTCGGCGCAATACTCCCCTCTCGGATCAGACGATGCCGAAAGATATACAGGAGTCGGAAAAATGGGCAACTAGACGATCAGGGAAGTGGACTTGACGTCCATTGCGAGTAATACAAAAAGGAGGGACAGAAGGAGACGGTTGAATGCGCGCTGGGGTGGATGAGCCGCATGAGGTTGAAGTTGGTGATTGCGGCCTTGGCGGAGCAGGAAGTAGACCGGCCGGAAGTATAGGGGGTAGGGAAGTGGAAGGAAAAGGGAGCGGATGAGGTAAAGTGGCGTGGGTGGGAGGTCAGCACATCTTCGTTCTTGGGGTAGGTCCAACAGCTCCTCTGCGACGGCCGCCTTAACCAGGCCGATGTTGACCACGCCCTCCTTGTCACCGCGAGGGATCCAGTAGGTCTTGGCACCGCTTGCGAGCACATGGAACGATCCTTCGTACGGTGATTCCAATGGCCTGCGCACATTGTCACACCAAACGAATACATGCATGCAGTTGCCCAGGCCTTTTTTCGACATAAGACGGGGTCGGTGGAGTTTGAGGTGGAACCGGGAAAAGTGAGTGCATATATTGACGCAGAGGGTGCATCAAATTGTCAAGAGTATGGCTGTCACTATGAGAGGTTGGGGTGACCATCTCGTCTGGCAATCGGCGGATAGTGCCGGACAGAAGTGCGCCCAAATTTGACTTCAGTGACGCACGAATGTCAAGGAGTGCACGGGGCAGGTTGCGGCACTCAGGGCGGCCCTAACTGGCAAAGGAACCGCTCAACCATACCGTTGACAGCTGTACGATAGGCCGTCGTCCGAATGAGAGTGCAACCAAGAAAGGTGAAGAGAGCAGACTCGAACTGGGCACCTCGGTTAGTGGTAATCGTGGATGGGGCACCGATAATGACGACCCAACGACCGACGAAAGACATCACGTTGGCGTCCTCCGGCACATTTGACAGGATGCACCGATCAACGCAGGTAAGATGAGAATAGCAATTAGACAGAGGCAATGGGGTTTATGGCATCCAGATGCACATGGTCGAACAGTGCGTCAGGACTGTGGGAGTCGCCTGATGGGGACCTGTTGTGACGCTGCACCCTTCTCTGCTGGCAGCCCAGACAACCGTGCTCAAACTTTTACATCCTCGTTCGTGCTAGACCAGACGAACCTTTCCGCGAGGAGCATTTTGAGGCTTGGATCCCAGGGTGAGAGAGTCCACAGGGAGATTGGAACCCATCTCGCCGCACAGAGGCGGGCACGACGGAGCGATGAAAGCGATTCGAGACGTCACAAAGGATGGTACAAGTACCGGCGATCAGCTGAACGTCTGTGATTCACTAAACGACTCGTTGCCAGGACAAACGATACGATTGTGTTCAGCCGTCATGGCACTAAGGTCGATAACGCAGAGTGAAGGTCTGGACAGCGTGTCAGCTGCCTCATCCTTTGTGCAGTTTGACAAATGCCGGCGGCGAAGCAGGAGGCGTAGTCCAAATAGGCGGTCTCTTTCGATTTATGTTTCTCAGAGTTGGATCGAATGGCAAGCGGAAGCGGTTCGTAGCCCCTGAAAATGACAAAGTCACGACCCTTAAGCAAGTGTCGGGAATGCTTTACAGCCAGGTAAGTGGCACCAAATTCACAACCAAAAGCGCTCTAGCGTGTCTCAGCCGGCGAAAGTTTCTTAGAGAAGAAGGCTAATGGTTTTGTGGAATTTGTACGGTGTTGTTGAAGAACTGCTCCTACATCAGTGGTTGAAATTTCAACTATCAGGGGACAGAGGAACTTCGTGAGCAGTATGCGTGAGCAATGTAGCGTCAGCAAGGAAACCTTTGATTCCCTCAAATGCAGTCAATGCTTCACCAATAAGCTCGAAGGGACCTTTGGGACCAGAAGAAATGTTGGTGGGCGGCAGTGTGAGGTCGACACAGTTCGACAGGAACCTTCGGTAAAGGTTGACCATGCCGAGGAATCTCTTTGGCTGACGCTTGGAGGTTGATGGATGGGAATCACGAACTGCTTCAACCTTGTAGGGGAGGAGACGCAAACCTTCTGAGTTAGCATAATGGTCAGGGAAGTCAGGAGAAGGCGCACCAAAAACACATTTGTAAGCGTTAACGTTGGCTCTGCATTCGTCGAGGTGGTCAATCACCAAGGTGAGGTTCTCCTTGTGTTATTCGGCATTCCGATTAATCACCAATGGGACGACGAAAGACGTGACCGATGAACATCTAGAATGTTTTGGCGGGATTGCAAAGACCGAAGGTCATGCGGACAAATTCGAAAAGGCCGAAGGGTGTAGTGACAGCGGTCGACAGAAATCTGATGAAAGGTACACACCAGGTCAGTCTTCGAGAAAACCACTTTGTCGAAAAGAGCTCCGACGAAATCCTGCAGATGAGGAACTGCGTATTGATCAGGAATGGTGGCATTGCTGACGATCTACAGAGGCGTCAGACTATCTTGCTTTACCTACCTGTTCACCATTCTGGAACTATTTGTTTATCTGAATGGAAGGAACTCGGCTCAACGCGACGCGCGTGGCATGTGTTAGACTATCAGGCCGTGTGACATTTAATTATTACGTCTGAAATGCGAATAAAATTCGAAAGCATTACTTAAGTAGGGTTGTAATAATGGTTATCCTGCCGCATGATACCAAGATATGCATGATTTTTCTTGCACGAAACGCATGCAGCTTGTAGTTCGGAAAGCCTAAGAGCACGGTTGGAGTCAAAACTATTTCGGAACTGAGGAAGTTATTTAAAGCCAAATGATACTCTTTCTCCAAGCATAAAATTTGAAGAAGACGTAATTTGCTAGTAGATGAGTAAAGGAAGGAATATTTTCTGCATGTTTTTTAAAAAAATATATTTGAATTTACACTGATATCAGAAATCAATGAAAAATTTTCATGCTACTTAAGTAGTAATTTTTCGGAATATAAGTCATGCACACAGTCAATGAGGAGCTCGTTTGAAAGCCGGCATCCTGAAAACATATTTCAGAATTGCAGTCGAAATCTCGTGAGATAGAATACTTACTGTAATGTGCGCTTAAGTTACCGTGACTGTGCCCACTCCACAGGACGCACGGTGAGCGTCGTTCGCGAAGGTACAACTGTTGCACACTGTTGTACTCGGAGAGAAGACAACTGCTTTCTTCGCCGTGATCGAGTCAATCCTGGATCTGATGATGTGCGTAATCGAGGACTTTGTGAGCAGTGGCCTGAATGGAATTCCGTACTACACGTCACTGGCCTTGAACGGAAACACTTTCTCCCAGGACTTGAATTTGTCCCAGTTTGAGATTCATTTGATTAGTCAGATAGGCTGTCATCCGTATCCAATAATGCTTTGTCTAACTAGCCGGGTGTTTGCCTACTTCGTGGACTTCTTCGAATTTGCGGTTGCAGCCTCTCCATGAAGACAAGGCGGCGCTCCATCCAACAGTCTGCATCACACATCGCCTTGGTCTCCAGCACATCATGCGGATCACAAATGGTCCAGGACGCACTCCAGCAGTTGTCAGTCGCGCAAGGGATAATGCGCCCACGTCGTCCTCTCCCGCATCAGCAGGTGAAAACCGTTAGTCAGGAGAAGACTGTGTCTACTACAGGAAAACGAGGCCATGGCCATTGCAGCTGCTGATACCGTGGGGACCTGAAGCTCCCTTCTAGGTAACGTGGTCTGTGCCAGCGCGGGCACTGATGGTGGCGATGACAATAAATTTGTCTGCCTTAGGCACGGTCGCCAGAAGGCACGCAGGTCCTTGCAGGATTTTCTCTTCAAGTCGTTAGACCTGATCATGGGGACAGCATAGACTTTAATTGTGTCGACTAATTTTGTTCTTTTGGCATGGCAGACGCATGCTCACGATACGACTGCTGATGTCCTAGGGCAGGCAGGACAGCTGTTCTGCCACGCCATCCCTGATGGCGAATGTGACTCCGGCGTCTCCCCACTCTCCGCCGCTCCAGCACCCACTCTCTTAAGAGGGGTGAGTCCCAATGAAAGTAATAATAGCCACTTTATAAACGGCCAGCTCTCGAGCAACCGGAGCTGTCCTTCGTTCCTGAAGGTTTGTCGTTGGTTTGTCTAAGAGCCAGAGTGAGAAGTGTCACTCTTATAATTTGTGGGGGAAGCATACAGGGAAGGGGACGGGGCTCACTGTTTTGCGTCCACAAACTATGGTTTACTTGCCGAAGGTGATTTTCAACAGCATTTGAGGTATCCCTCAGCGAACGTGAAAGCAGTGCTTCCTTAAATTTGGCTGGCGTCATGCCAAGTAACTGCCGAACATCACTGTCTCACGACTTTTAGGTAGGCGAATCAGCCTTGGTCGTCCATAGAATCTAATGTTGCCCCCACTGTAGGACTTATTGTTTGGAGGAGGCCAAGGAGGATGACATTTAAGCCATGGGCAGGACCTAGCCACCACAACCTTCAGGCCAGGTCTCGAATAGAAAGAGAAGAGTTAGACGCCAGTTGAGAAGGCACTGTATTCTGAACAGGAAGATTTAAGAACCGATTGGAATAGGCTGGCAGCCAGATGAGGGAACGCACCCGACGCCGTAAGAGCAGGGTTGTGGTTGACTTACGAGTATTATTCGTTTTCTGGGAACATTTATTAAGACCAAATTTTCATTTAAGTCAGCGGAGACATCGTCATTTGTTTGGCTATTTGTGTAAACAAATGTTGTGCAATTTTGTCAGCAAACGATATTCCCTTTTCCGGATTATTTGGGTCGTCAACCACTGGTACTCCAAGCTTAGACTGCGAGTCTCAGTATTGGATCCGAATCAGATGATCAGACAGCAGGGCTTTCACGCCTGAGCTACTGGTCCCGAGATGTCGAACTAGACCAGGGTGGTTTAGTCACACGGGATTTGGAGAGGCAGTGCTGCGGGCATAGTTCGTATTTTGGACAAGGAGATGTTCTGCTTGTCGGATGTTCAGGCATGTGACTTTCATACACCAGGAGTTCGCATGGCAGAGCACTAAGCCAGGCGAGCACCTTAGCATGATGCCGGCTGTAGTAGTGGAGGGCCATTTCGAGGTACAGCCGGTAGCTGAGGCAGATGTTGGCTGCACGACTGTAGGAGTCCAAAGGGGGGGGGACGAACAAGAGGCAGCCTTGGCGCCTATCGAAAAGTTAGCATTCGATAAATAGGCCGAGTTACTTTTAGTTGGTCTGGTAATGGGTTCACGCCACTCACTCGTAAATAACCAAAATGTCAGGGAAAAATTTGCGTTAGCTGATAAAATTGCCCCACTGTACCAAACAGGAAACAACCAAACACCAGTCGTCATCTGGCAGAGAAAACAGGCTTGCTAAAGTTTACAGGCATACTTGTGACAAGGCAGAAATAAAACCTGTGAGAGTAACGAGCATTACGCGCAGATGAGGAAATATACCAGAAGATGGAAACAAGATGTAACGGAGCCAGACATTAAGGTGGTCCTTGGCCAACGGGCCACAACTGTACCTCCAGCTAAGTCGGTTAGTCTCATTGGTCCGACGTGTCTTGATCATGCATAAACCGATCAACTGTGTATAACAGTGTCGTAGTTTCAAGGGGTTTTTACCTCAGAACCGCCGTCGGCGAGTACGTAACCGCGGAATTATGATGTCCTGGGATAGTTACCGCGTGAAAATTGGTCGTGAAAATAGTGTCGTCCGTGAGGAAAGTGCTTCTCGCAGAAGTGTGGAGTCAAGGATGGCATGTTCTTGCATTTGGGCCCACCCATGGGTCCAGGAACTGGACCCGAGGTGGAAATGCTGGTTTGAAGACCGTTGATTACTTAGGGGGGGAGGGGGAGGGGGGGCTTTTGCTCTGGCATCGTAATTAAACCTTGCAATTACAAGTCAGACGGAAAAAAGACGACGTCGTGGCTACCAGGGCCAAGAGTGACGGTGCGAGGGGTCGATATGCTTGCCCAGGTTGTTTCAAATGTCCTAGAAATAGACATCCTTGTCGGTACGAAGTTAGTCACGTTGGCCGTCCGAGAGGCCGGTGATGAGATTATTTAGACCTACGGTTCCAGCGGAGATGGGTAAATCGGTCCTTTAATCACACCGCACTTCCTTAGCTCGCATGACAGGGTTTGCCAACATAGTCCGATGCAAGCAACATCAGCTAATGATAGCCCGGATAAGGCTGTAAATACCATCTAGCTTTCGTTGTTCTTTTGGCCGAAAAATCAGACATTTGTCCTCAACATTTCGCACATGGATGATTCTGGACACCGAATTATCACATTAATGCGTGAATAATACATTTTGCGTATAAAGTGCAAGGAACCCGCAGAAGTCCCGGCTGGTTCATTCTTTACGATCCCGTATCGGCAATTTCGTCGGAGTTCTCAGCGGCACAACTTCTAGTCATACGGTAGACGGGGGCGATGCATAGCGGATTTCCTCACGTACCTGACAGTGTTTAACAACCATCGGGACTTCGCACTAGTCGCAAGTGAATGTTCCAAATCAAGTGCACGACCAGACATCTGGATCTAGGCTCGGACAGGCTTTCCGGTGATACAGCGCTGCAGAGCCAGTGACCAGAGAGCCGGAGGTGCGGCTTTCTATCAAAGCCGACCTAAAAGGCAGTCGGTCGAGCGGGTTCTGTTAACAACTGCGAAATGGTAATCCCAGAGGGGAGATTAGCACAGCTGTCTGCTTAGCAAACATCTCAAAAGGAATCTATTTTAAAAAAGCAATCGTAAAACTAAAAAAAATTACAACTGAGGGGGAACAATCTTTCGTTCCGATGTGAGGTATGCAGGACGCGGGCTGAGGATTGTTTGTGTTGCTGCGGGGCGTCCACCAAAGTGGACAAATAAATAATGGGAGATTGTAGAAATGCGACCAGAATGGGTTGTCACCTATCTGGGGCTCGATTGTAACCACCTGTTCAGGTTCTCATAGACCAAGAATGTGATACCACAGGCCGGAGCCGTCCTGAGTATGCTGGGTAAGAGGCCCTTGTAGAAGCCAAGGATGCCTTCGTGCCTACAGGTGCAAAAAGAGGCTGGTTGAGCGGAGGCAAATATTAGTATCGACGACAGGATCGTGTCAGCTAAAAGATGCAGATATGCACAGGATAAAGAAAAATCGTCGGTAATTAAATTCCAATTTCTAGAAAGACGGGTTACCCGCTAACCTACCTGGTGACTACCCAGCGCGTCCATAGGTGACGAATAGTGAAACGACTTTCAGCGAAATAAACAGGCTCTCGGGTCTGGTGAATTAGCAGTCGCGAACCAGCAATACCAGTGTTACTAAGGTGCGGAAGGCTGGGCTCTGCCACGCTGACTGCCTTATAAAATGCCGCAAAGCCCGGTAACGGCACAATGACAAGGCCCCCGTAAACCGCTATTAAATAAGTTTTCTTGCCACCGTTGTCTCGTGGTTAGGTTCTTGGGCTAAAGCCTTGAAGGAGACAATTTCAAACGAACAATCCGAGCGACTGTTAGGGACTCGCCTGAAAATGTCCGACTGCAATACATTTGCAGGGCGAGCTTCCTCTGTCTTAACTTTCAATGACAGTGTTAGGTGTGGTCACCGAGTAAGCGGAACCAGGCTCGTCCAGAAGGCACAAAATCGTTATCATCTGATCGACAGCAGTCTGAGTGAATGGTCAAAGCATTCAAAACGTGAAGGCCGTTGTTTCGAGTCCAGAGCACATGACTTCACTGTCTGTCGTACAAGCCGTCTCAGACTTAATAAAAACAAAACATAGGGCACAGAGGAAGACGTTTCGCTTGAAACGATATTCTACACCCCCAGACGGCCAGCTTCAATTTCTCACTACAGTACAGCCAAAAAACGAGACAGTCGTGGGACTCCCACGTGCTGAGTTGGAGAAACAGGTGGGGATGAGCACTCTTACACCCAGCACTTCCAGTAAGCCAGCTGTACACCAAGCTACGCTGCCGTAAGACTTTAGGGAACGCAGGTTAGGTGGATTTTGCGTTAGAGGGATTTTCTTGTGCTAACTCATGACATTTCATGAGTTAGAACAGCTACTGTGCACTTCTTCAAGCTGACAGCCATTAATCCCGAGGGGTGTGTTCGCCTGATCAGGGATGCGACTCGAAAACAATTTGGTCTCCTTAGCGTTTATGGATAGAACGACCAAAGTAGTGACTTCCTTCAACCGTGACATCACGGACTGTAGATTACCAAAACACTAGATTGGCAAGGCGATATCGTTAGCACAGTCTAGACCAGTCAACAGGCGTCCGGGTGCGGACTTCACACCTTCAAAACATATAGAGCCCGCCGGTGAATTCAGTCAGATCGAACGGTTGAGAGAGATTGTTATGGAGGCAAACTCGCTCGGAGGTGGAGAGATAGTAGGCCTTGATCATTGCGATATTTTTTGGCTGGCACACCATCTAGTTCCATCACTCGCCACAGGGACTCACGATGGACGGAATCGAGCACAGCAACAAAGTCGACAGTCGTCGGTTGCTGGTGGCCATGGCGGAATTCTATAATGCGCCTCAGTGTGAATAACTGGCCCGCGCATCCACGCTCAGTTGGAAATCCGGCTTGGCTGAGACTCGTCCTTGAGTCATGCACAGATTAGAATTTAAAGCAAGCAAGGACAGCAGAATTTAATGGTACCGGAAAATTTCGCGACGGCTTCTCAACTGCAGCCTGTCGTTGCATAGCAGAAATAACAAGTGAGAAAGGTACAGAGGTTTGAATTTCGACAGATAAAGTCAACGTAAAACAACAAGGCCAACGTATACTGCGCGTAGACTAATCGATAAAATGGTAACTCCAGTAGTATACGCCGTCGCGAAATTTTCTGGTACCATTAAATTCTGCTGTCCTTGCTTGCTTTAAATTCATTCCGGGGAAATATTGCTTCAGACTAGAATTTTCTGAGGAGGCTAACGGCGCAAATTGTTGCAGGCTTATGCCGCGATAGTTCTTGCATGTGGTCTTATTTCCCTTCTTGAAAATAGACACAAGGATGCCCGAACATCATTCACTAGGAACTACCTAATCTCTCGTCGTTTGCTCAGTCACCTCATGGAACCAGGGTGCCAGTATCGGCAAAAGGCATAGATTTCGGTGGGGATACCGTCCTCTCCAAGCGTCTTATTATTGTGCAGCCTGCGTTGCATCGGTAACTTCTCCCTCAGGAGGGCATCGCACGACATTCCATGGGCTGGGGAAGGATAAACCCGCTGCGGAGGGAGAGGATGTGATGGGCTGCTGATCAAAGTTGAGATGCTCGCGCCAGCCATCAAACTTGACAGAGTTGTCAGCAATAGAGCCGCCATTCAAATCGCGAACAGAGTCGCTGTGTGTCAAGGGCTCACCACTAACTTTGCGGATAATTTGATAGTGGGTCACCAGCGTTTGAGGTCTGCTCTATGGTGGTCGCTGTTCCAGCTCAATATCTCTGCCGATTATCCCTATCCGACTGTGCTGTCATTTTTCGGAGTTGATGGAAGGAAACATCTTTGCGGGACCTGACTAGGACCGTCTGGGCAGATAACTGCGGTGTTCTTCTGCCGATCCAGTCACTGCTGTGCCGCTAGGTAAATCCAAGAAGCTTCTCAGTTGCCCAATAGACTGATGACTTCAGTGATGACCATTGGCCACTGAATTCGTTGGCCCGGGTCATAAAAGGGGTCAGGATTTTTGTGCTCAGGGCCTCGGTAGCGATTGGTTGTCGAAGGTATGCGACATCCAAGCGTCTCACACATGGACTTGTTGGTGCAGATGACAGGCGAACTTTTAGGCGTGTGCGGACAAGAACATACAGTAAATGTGTTATCTCATGAAATGTTAACCGAAATTCTGAAATGCGTATCAACTTCGAAAACATTACTTAAGCAGGGTTGTAAGCATGATAGTCGTGCCGCATGATACCAAGATATTCCAGTCACGTCAGGATGCCGACTTTTGGACGAGCTCCCAATCGAACGCCTAAGTAAGCTATATTCCGCAAAACAACACGGTCGGATGTAATTCGGTAGCCCCACCTGAAGTAAGCAAACCCTAGTCACCTCTGATACGGGACCGGTGGTAATAGGGTTTTTTACAGGGGTACGGAGAACGCACCGGCGACGAGGTCAAGTAGTTGTCTGTAAAAGAAAAGCTATTGGGAATGCGCGGTTGTACTTTAAATGGGTGAGAAATAGTTGCTCTAAACCCTAACCCTGACCTCTAACCCTAACCCCTAACCATAGACTTTAATCCTAACTCCGAACCCTGACCCTTAACCCCAACCCCAACAGTACTGTGCCCATCAAGTGGGGCTACCAAACCACATCTTACCAAAAACATACCTCAGGAGGGTGAATCATGCCCACTGATATTTCACACCCTTATTAATTCCAGAATATTTATTAGGAAACATGCAGGAAAATACTTTTTCATTTGTTAGGGGGCGCTCACCGATCGTTCATACGGAACTCACTCGTTCCGTTGTGCCTTAAGGGCTCTCTCTCGAGCCCAACCAGCAGCCGCACAGCGGCGCATGATATATAGGCAGAATGATATTACCGACAAAGACAAGGGAGACTGTAATGGCCATTTCTGGCTTATTAACCGTCGTCAGCCAGCCATACCCAAGCCCGAAGTGTGGAACACCCGAGCCTCGAACTCGCGACCTGTTGGTTTAGAAGTCAACGCCTCTACTTTTTCACTTGCTCATTTGACAGCAAATTGCGTCTCCTTCAAACGTTATACTTCAGGAAGGAGTATCTTTAAGTTTTAAGAACATTAATATTAGATTTGACGGGACCGAGAAATGTCCAATTGTACAGCAAACCATCAGCACATTCATTAACGCTGCTTAAAAACGGGATAACATAATCCACATCCCGTGCAAAATTTCGTGAACCCTATATGTCCTCTTCTTAACAGAATATTGAAATGCATGATTTATCTTGCACGAAACGCATACAGCTTGTAGTTCGGAAACCCTAAGCGCAGGATTGAGGTCAAAAGTATTTGGGAACTGAGGAAGTTATTTAAAGCCGAATGATACTCTTCCTTTAAGTATAAGATTTTAAGAAGTCGCAATTTGCTATTAGATGAGTAAAAGAAGGAATATTTTGGTGCACGTTTTCTAATAAATATATTTGAGTTTACACGGGTGTCATAAATCAATGGGAAAGTTGCATGCTGCTTAAGTTGTCATTTTTGCGGAATATAAGTCATGCACACAGTTGATGAGGAGCTCGTTTGGAAGCCGGCATCCTGACATGACTGGAATATCTTAAAATTATGCGACACGACAAACAATATTACTACCCTACTTAATTAATCTTTTGGAGTTGAAAACACATTTCAGAATTTCAATCAACGCTTCATGATACAGCACAGCCACTGTACTTATACCCATGGACATAACGAGTTTCCGCATCACGTGTCGACCTCCTATCCTGAACCCTGCTGCGGAACCCTGAACCAACAAGAACATACTCCATCAGACTGGCCGTATGGCCTTCGTGTGAATACCAGGTCAATAGATTTTTGTGGCGATGCAGGGAGCACGCGTTAGTGACAAACAGTCGGTTCTGATCAACAAAATCCAGCATTCTCCTACAATTGTCGCATCGAGCGTCAAGCCCAAAATGGTCGCTGAGGTGACTTTGAAGAGTCACCGGATTCAGTCCGGTCATTCCAGTCCCCGGCAACCATCAGCAGATCACAGCGAGTGAGTCTTTCAACTAACTTCTGCAACTGTGAGTAGAAGGTACCTTCATCGCGACCTTCGGCAGCTGATGTTGGTGCGCACACGGAGACGACCTAGATGCCCGTAATGTGACCTTTCAGTCGTTCCCATGCAAGCAGTACACGGTTTGCTTGTTCCGAGAGCCATAGCCACACCGTGTCTACCATTAGTCGTCGTGGGTCACTGTGGTACAAAATGAAGTAAGAGTTGACTTTCGGGGTCTTTATTTCCCTAACTCCTGGGTCGGGGATTCAGACGTCAGACAAGCTACCGACATCCATGTTGTCAGAATTGGAGTACCAGGGTCTAGAACAATTCGCACATTCCAAAATCCAATACTCAGAGATAATTTCCAATTGATAATCCAGCTCACGTGCTACCGCCCGAGTCGGTTCCCGCGGACGCCGTAGCATGGATCGTAATACTGTAATTCAACATTTCATGAGGTTTCGTGGTGATTTTGAATACAGGCGGGCTCCCGGCAGCCGCTTGGACTATTCGTTCGGGGTTGTGTCCCGTAGCGCTTTGACTCAAGAACATAACTACGAGGCAGCGGTGGTAAACAAACTTATTTAATGGCGGTTCAGTCACCATGTCACAGTGCCGCCATCGGGCTTTGAGGCATTACAATATCCAACATTTAGGGACGGGTGGGATAGCCTGCAACTAGATTAACGGGCATGCTGCGTCCCTTCCGGATGGATGACATTTTGGCCTGATTTGCACCATCACTTAATTAAAAATGAATAAAACAACTGCAAGATCTCAACGTCCCCAGTATTCGTAACTGACGATAGAACGTCAAAGATGTTAGCAAAATGATGAACGACTTCACGGTTGAATCTGCATAAATGACAGCACCAGCAGATAATTATTTCTAAGCCAACATAGCATTCCAGTCAAGTCATGCATATGTGGTGGAAGTTTGCCCCTAAAACGGACCACTAGGTAAATACCCTAGATCAACGCGGGGGCCAGATCGGGGTTTCGCAGGAGTTATTCCAGAACAGCACTCATAACAAATGCCAGCATTGGGGGTGAGACGGTACGCCCAGGTGCACGCCCATGTCGCGCTAATCAGGATCCGAGACGCCATCGTTCTTCTCTTGTCGTGTAAAGTTCCGATAATTGCACGTTGTGGACCAGGGGATGTTGTGGTGTGTCTAGATGCGGGTTGTCGTCGTGAGAGCCACCAGCGTCCTCTCACGCCTCCGAACTTCTTGACTATGTCTTGACACCGGGTCCAGGTGGTGGAGGAGGAGAAAGTGTGGTAGATGCCGCGCAAGTCTACTACCATTAAAAACCAACTCACGCACAAGTCACCGTGCCTGCTTCACCTCGCTGTGGAGCACATGGTGGACATCGTCGGATGCGACGGCCAAACTATCATGGCGAGCTAGGCCATGTGTGTGGCACACGCAGACGGCCTGCTCTGAACTCTGTCAGGCGTCTCGAACAGTCGACTGGTGCACGGGATAGGGTAAAACGAGTGAGGTCGACTCTCAGCGAATGGTCCCTTGTTATAAACAATCTGACGCGCTGGCAACTAACACGGTGCGCTAATAGCCGTGGCTTGGAGGAGTGCAAACTAAAGGGATAACTCTGACCTCGAAGTCAGTCCAGTGTGCCGGGTTGTGTGGTGTGGCCGACCGGTGGGCTGAAAGTCAGGGTGCAATGGCACCTTCTTAATCTGGTCACCGTGGCACATCCACTCAGTGGGATCACAGCCGGTGTGGTGACACGCGCTTACGTGTGGGTTTTTGCCGTGCTAACCACCTGAACCCTCTCCCTCCCCCAGTCTTCTTGACTCTGTCATGAAATCGGGCCCGGTTGGGGAGGGGAGCGCGCGGTAGACGCTGCGCAAGTCTACTACCACTACAAAGTAGATCGTGCGTAAATCACCGTCCCTACTATCAACGTGCTGTGGAGCGTGGACAGCGTTTATTTGGCTCCTGCATTCGTTGAGCGAGACCCGTAAACAATCAATTCCCTAGTAGTATAGAATTTAAGAAACATTGGCAATCCAAGCTGGACCAAAGCCCTCTGAATATCGGCATTTTAAAGAAGATTTGGCAAAATATGCCGCTTCAAAAAATTGGCAGACTTCCTGTCGGAATGTATCGGCACTCAGTGATTTCGCCAAACAAAAAGGAGTGGAGGCCCGGCATCCATCCCAACCGTCATAAAGCAATCGAACGAGTGTGTGGCTTTTAGCCAACTTCCTGTTTTAATCACCAGAGAGTAGATGGCCCAGCTCATGAATGTCGTGGCCGAAATCTGGGTGGATGGCATATCATACATTCGTTGGTATTTGTGTTTGTTTAATTTGAGGCGCAGAAAGCTATTTACTAAGAAAAAATTCATTTCAACTCTGGTTAATTAAAGGTAAATAGGCCACATTTGGGTTCTGCGGTGTTAAATATAAGTGGGCAGTCAACAAAGTACCAATCGTATGTACTTGTTGTCATTTCTCAGTATTTTTTTCTCTTTCATGCGTCCCCCTTCTTTATGCACCCCTATAGTTGGCCTTATTTAAGTGATTCGTAATATAGCCGTCTTCTGAAATTCTAGTCTCTAGTGAGGATTATTTATTCTCACGTTAGCAAACGTTAACTTATAAAACCAACTACGCCATCTTTTATGAAGTGTCCTTTGTTTACTATTGTAAAACTTGAGGGAACGCAACTTGGGCGGATTTCGTGTTATAGGGATTTTCTTGCAATAACTCAGGAAATTTCATGAGTTGACACATCTACGGTGCATACGTTTCGCATTTGCTGACCTGATTTCCGTCCTATCCACTGAGCCCAAACTCCTTGATTTGTGTGACACAAACTGGTGAGATCGCCTCGAAGGGTTCAGAAACCCCGTCATTATGGGTGCTCGATTTTGAGATGAATGAGTCGACAAATATTTTCCTATGTGACCATCAAGCACTATAAATCCAGTTAAGAAATCAATTATAACTTGTACCTCCATAAAGTACTTGTCACATCTATGATCCCAGTGTAGCGCCGATGCTGTTCTTGAAGGCGTGACCGCACGACTTGATACGGACAGGTTGCTGCGACGGCAACGGCCTTAGAGAGCGTAGCAATCGTCAGGTACTCGGAAGGCGACTAAAAAAATATAAACAGCGCATCAGATTTTCATGTCAATTGCAAGTACGGTTGTTAGTCAAAGGCTTTGTCTGATATTAGTGAAGACTGGTGGTGCCCTAGTATGCAGTAAAAGTAACATAGTCATAAATAGGTGAGACACTCCCGACGCTAATAAGGTGTCAAACGTCAGGTAATAAGTAACAACAACGCTCGCATAAATCGACACAAACAGAAGTGACAACATAAAATTTTAATTCCGTGGAAAAATAAGCAAATCGGTCCACAGGAGGCCTCATAGAAGACCAGAACATAAACCGACTATCGTCAAGAGACTACTAAGGCAATGGGCAACAAATGGACAAAAAAGACGTACCAGGTGAGTATCGATGCGCCGCTGGAAATAGGTCCCATTATAGAAGTTCCGCATCTCCTCATAGAGGAAGAATTGGATGGCTCCGTTGCTTACGCCTATTAGACCCGGCACCATACCGCGGTACATGCCCTTCATGCCCTCCAGTCGCCAAATGGAGACCAGGTTGCCCCAGGTAGTCAGAGTCGGAACTCGTGGCTTACCTAGGGTTTCGTACTGCAGGCACATCCTCGTCTTCACTACCCATATGGGATTTGTCACGGACAACACAAGGCATCCTAGAAAAAGAAGAAGAAGAAGAAGAAGAAGAACCGTCAATTACTGACTAGAACGTGGCGCTTTAAAATAGCTAAAACGGCGAAAACTGCTGCCATATAACTCGGTGGACCAGTTAGTTATGTCAACTAGGACGCGATGCATAAATGCAGACAGTATGACAAGGCAACCTAAAATTTGTCTGGAACTGTCTGCGTGAAAATTCCTCTGAGAAGTTCATAGGCAGATCCGAGGCTCCATAATACCATTCAGAAAATAAACTTATTTTTCAAAAGAATCTTCTCCAACATTCAGCAAATCAGGTGACAACAATCGAGCATGTCGTCTTTCTAAACCACCCTTGCCTTGTTGTGGATAGGATTCCCTAAAAAACTGAGGCAGTCACCTAAGTTATGATGGGTTTTTCACCAATGGCAAGCTGACAGAGGTTAAGTCGTCTGACAAAATCCATAAGAGCTCCTCTGCAAAGATTAACGACATGAGCCTAACTGATGAAACCTACAAGGGAGGTTACGATTTATTCAAATGCGGTATTCCCTCCGGAGATGTCTTTAGAAGTCCTTGGAGTCTCCTGGTGGTGGTGGTGGTGGTGGTGGTGGTGGTGGTGGTGATGATGATGATGATGATGATGATGATGATGATGATGATGATGATGATGATGATGATGATGATGATGATGATGATGATGATGATGATGATGATGATGATGATGATGATGATGATGATGATGATGATGATGATGATGATGATGATGATGATGATGATGCAGAAGTTAGTTTTGACACTTACCTGACAAGTAGGCGTATCCGAGATATTCGACCTTGCTCAGCTTGCGCGAGGGGTCACCCTCTTGGGCATGGTTTTTTATGGCCCCATAGCTGTAACGTAGAAAGTGGAAAAATGGCCTTACCATGAAACAACGGACAGAGAGGCCGGACGCTTTTTGAAATACTAAGGTAAACCAAATGGCGATGTATCTGAGGTTGTGGACTGATTTGATTTATTAGGGATGTATGCGCTCATAAACCCTGGACTGTCATGCGTTTCTATGCACTTTCGTCAATTTACCGACTTAGATACCAAGCCTCATTCCCTCAAATGTTTGTTGAAGTGCTTGCAATGGAAAAGAAATCGACTGTAACCAGAGCGTTGGGATAAGTGTACCCTATCAGAGGTGAAATTCTAGTAATGGATTACTGGAGGCACAGATTTACCAACGACTGACTTCTTAAGGTGACTTCAGATGCACAGAAGAGGTAGAAGCCATCAGCGCATCAGCAACGTTTCCTTCTGTGGCTCCGAGCATAGATTTTCCATTTCTTTTTCAGGTACTTATTCAGAAAAGTCGGTCAAGTTGAGAGGACTATGGTTAGAATTCCTGGCCTCATCCCATTTTAAAGAAGACAAAGGAGAAAAAACATGTCCCCATAGCCCATCGCAACCTCAAAGGGCGGACAAAATTCAAGAAAACATCTATTCCATTAATCTGATGTTCAACACTAGCAACCATTCACACGCACACGCTGCCACAACAACCAATTAAAACCGAAGTAGTTGGACGATATATTGGAACAACTGAGGACTAAAGTGGACATCTTGCCCGCCGCCAATGAAGTACCGACGTTGACAGAGTACGACAGAGATCTTGCGTCTCCTCGGAGACGGAAAACGGTTTGCCTTGTCGGTTAGGCCAACTGCGAAGACATCTGTTGTCCAGTAAAACGTCTGTGGGCTGGCCGGGTGAGTTCGACGGTCGAACTCTCACCCGACTCTGATGTCGAGGGAGTTGTTTGGCTGTCTTAAATAAATCACGCATACCACTCTCCAAAGGGGAATTAATACTGAATTACGCATGCTGGCAAAGGTGAACCAAGGAGTTGCCAACCCAGTGCAGTCATTCAGTATATTTACTTTCAAAGGGAAATGCATGCGCTGAAAGGAGTTCATTCCAATACTCGCTTTGCAGTATGGCGTCAAGGCAGGTTGGAGGGTATTAACTGAGAGCTCTACTTCAGATAAACAATAGGAAACAGTCCTTGGCGTAGACATATGTCTTCTTATTGATACCAGAAAAATAAAAAGGGAATAAAAGGGCGAAGACAACCAATAATCCATTTCAGATCAGATAGGTAAACTAACGTATAGTAAAGTGACATTCATGCTGAGGTATGTCAAGGAAAATACGGCAACTTACATAAAGAAATAGAGGCCCCAAGCAGAGGCTGATCCCAGAAGGTTGGGTGTGATGCCCTGATATAGTCCGAGGAAACCGCGAGCTTTATATACTTCACTTAAAGTGCCAAATAAATTAGTACTGCGCGGGCTAGAAAGAATGGAAGACAGATGAAAGAGATAGGTCAGGTGTCAATGACATGAGGCAAGAAGATGGCTCAGGCCAGTATATTTAACATCTTTCAAAGAGCATGCTAAAAGCCACTGGTTTTAAACGAAAAAGAGTCGAACGTGGGGAGAAGAGTCAAACTAACCGAGCAGTAATGACACCTGTGCCTTCGTTGACTTGGAGGCGAACTTTGGCCAGATCCAAAGGATGCAAAGCCACCGTACTTGCTGTCCCTCCGGCCAAGCCCGCGATAAACTGCTCCCACCTCACATGAGGAAAACGGTCCCCGAGGCAGGCGCAATATTGCCGGAGTGGGGTTTCTTGACCGGAGGAAGCTTTTGAGGTCAACATCCCTTGTCGGCCTAAAAAGGTAGAGGCTGGGTGAGTGAGCACGAAGGCACTGCGAACAGTTCATTGGTACTAGATGAACTTCACATTACTTCCGAAGCAAGAAAAAATTCGGCAATTACTTCTATATTCAAATCCAGTGTGTAATTATTGGTCCCATTTTTCCAGAAGTGAATAAAAACTATGGGCTCCGCTCAATAAAAATGTTCCAGCCTTCGTGAAGATGGGTATGGGGGAGAAATGGTGAGGTTACGTCCAAGGCAGTTTCAGAAAATTGACGCTTACGGGCTCCAAAACTTGGCGAGCAGTAGTCGAACGTAAAGAGGGAAAATTCAAAGAGACGAGACGGGCAGTAACGTAAAGATGAGGTATGGTGGGCCACCGTCAAATATGGGTTTGCGCATTAAAAGTTGCATTTCGTCAGACCGAAAAGAGGTATTCCGAACCCGGCTAGAGAGTAGTCCCGTCGCTTCAGCTTTGAGTTTCATTATAAATTATTAGGAATTATGCGTCGAGAGGTTTATGTTATGCGGAATTACGTCAAATAAAACAAGGAGCTATAGAATAAGAGTGCAGTGGACAGACATACACAGGATTTATAGCTGTGATTTTGAAATTCAGTGCTGATCTCTACCTCTTATGGCAATGACAATGGGTCATCTATGAAGTTTTTACAAGTAGAACAGGTGTGAGGGCTTACATAGCACATATGTTAGTATGGAACCGTCTACTCTATGTCAAAGTTAAATAATTAACACAGAAGTTCAAGGGGTGGTACCAGCCTATCCGATGCAAGTCTTATGAAACCTTGCCTATGGGTGAGCATGAAATAAAGGTACAACGAACGATCATTCTAGCATGTGCGGAGACGTTTTGCGCCCAGATTCTCCCGATATGGCATGCCGGGCTGCACGTCATGCTCGGACGCGAGTTATCACGCTCGACCACAACAAAACGAATAGGACGGGTCCTAGACAGTGGTGCAGGTCCCACAGAAGTCTCCATGATTGTGCGAACAACCTAGTGCAATTTCTACACTTAGAGAAAGCGGACGAAGAAAGGCTGGGGGTCGAGGAAAGCCGTCACTGTGGGCAGTATGACGACCACCCTATGGCGGTATGTCGGAAGAAAGGTGAGCAGTTCTCCGCGAGCCAGAAGTTACTGTGTGTCCACACTTCGTATCTGTGAAGATTGTGTACCTAAGCGCACTTTGGTGGGCTGTGAATGGGTGACTACTGGGGAAATACGCAATACCCCTGCGGTTGCGCGAAGTCAAGAGCAGCAGGTGAGTATAATTGTTTGTCGGGCGTGGTTATGACAGAAAAGTATGTAAAGCCGGTGCCGAAAAAGACAAGGGACGCTGGGACGATCATTTCTGGCTTACTGGCCGTTATCCGCTAGTCACACCCAGTCCCAGGTTTTACAGAGCCTACTATTAGACGCCACGTTCTTTGGTCATCAAACGTTATCAAGTTCAACGTTCTACCACCGCACCTCAAGGACAGCGGGACGAGCATGTCCCGTAACCCGATCGGTGAACGCACTTCCAATATATGTTTGCTTTAGATAAATTTTCGTCGGACCAGTACATTTATATGGGAACGGGACCAATTCAAACATGTCAGTGATTAGAGATATCGATTAAAATTTGATCTAAAACACAGGCGGGGAGACAGTGGTAGGGCCCGGAGAGTTGCATGTAGTTGGTCAACCTTTGACCACGGTAAGCGCTGAGCCTGGGTGAGGTTCTTCTGTACAGGTAAGACCGGCTTTCATAACCTGAATGCGGCCACTAGTGATGTTGCTAGTGGGCGCTGGTCCAGTAGTTTAAGGGAGCTCAAAGGGAACCTTATAAATCGCACGAAAAGCTACCCTGGGGTCCACACGATGCCCGGAATCAACAGCATGTGAGAGAATGGTGTTGTTTACGCTCCGAGTTTCGCCTTTTCCCAGGCATGCCGGGAGGTTTTCTCGCTTTTTAGATAGACGCCAACTCGTGCGACCGATATAACTTGCTCCACGGGAGCGAATGAAGGAGTAGATGTACACTGAGGTAGTCTGAGATGGCGACCTATCCTTAGTTTCGCGTAAAGTAGGATTAGTACAGAATACTGTTAGAACACTTGCTGCTTGAAAGGTTCGTGAGACAGCTTGATCAAGGCGTCCTCTTTGGAGTTCAGTCGCAGCGTCTCTTTGAAAAGAGACGTTGAGGAACAGTTTTCTTTTAGGCAGTCAGGGTGGGGGATTTTTCCGATCGCTCGGCAATATTCTTTGCAATAAACCTGTCAGGATACGCCTTTTGCGAAGCAAGTTCTGGATCTTTCTAAGCTCCTCCTCGCCGAACAAATTTTTATGCTGTTTTCGCCAAACACCGGACTTGATTTTGTTTCCGTTGGAGGGGCATGAAACTGCCGAAGTTCGTGTATTGGCCTCCGAAAGACGCTCGTTTGGACGCTAATGTCAGGCCTCCTACTTAAAAGGGCATCTGAGGAAAGGAGGAAAGCCGTTTCCAACTACAAAGTGAACTTGATCGACGGATTGCCTGATTTTCAGCATTTAAGAGGGCAGCTGCGCGGTTTCTGTGTTGGCGATTGCAAAGATGTCATCAAAGCAGTGACCGTAATGTTTAAACTTATTAATCTAACAGTTTATTTGATATATCTCCGCCTTGCTGATGAAAACACCAGCTAAAAGAGGTCCATGAGGCAAGCTCAAAGAAACGCCGTCAATTTGTCCATATAGTTGGCCGTCAAAAAGAAACCGCACATTTAATGTGCATCTTAGTAATGGTTCCTTGAGTCTATTCGTTGGAATTTCTATTTTCTGATGATTGGTTGATAGGAATTTGCAGATGTAACCAACTGTCTCGGTGACGGGGACGCTCGTAAAGTGATGAGACGTCTAGCGAGAGCATCAACATGCCGCTAAGGTTAACATCTTTGACGTCGTCAATGAATTCGAAGGTACCTTGATAGCTGTGTGGTGCTAGCCAATGCTGTACGGGCTTGGTTCCACTGATAACAACTTTGTTATTGCATGACGAACTGGCAGGCCGTCCTTACGGATCCTAGGTAAACCATACAGTCTAGCAATATGTGTGTTGACTAGTCGGAAGTGTTCGAGGCTATAGTCACTTATGGAACTTTCCGTGTGGAGCTTTCCTGGACAGTTAGTTTGGTATCTACCCGATCCATGCACTCATTTTTTGTCCACCTTCCAGAATTCCTTGTGGTCCGGGAATATTTATTGTATCTTCGCTACGTAGTCCGGCTTTTGGCCTTTTGTTCAGACACTGATAAATGCAATCCACCGATGTTGATTTAAAGCGTTGGATACCGTCTGCGGGGCAAATGTATGTCCGTCAACTAGTCTTCTGAATACTGTCATGGGAATTTTCGCAACTTCCCGATCGCAACTCACAGGACCGCGATCCATTACGAAAAAGACAATAAATTCCAGGGTCTTTTCCAGATAAATTGAGACCAACCAGTAGAATTCATTATTCAACACCTGTTGAGGTAACGCAACATAAAAAAACGGCTCAATCCAAGCTGGTTCGGAGCTGGAGTATACGGCAAAACTACACTGAGCATGAATCGAATGCAGTCAGACTTGACGACAGCGTCTCAGAGGATCTTACTTCTTTCCATAGTCTACTCAACAAATTACTCCAGCCAGATGTGGAAAGCCTTTCAGACTAGGAAGAGTGAGGAGAGGTCAACAACATTACCACCTCGTCCTCTCAGAATTATGCTAGAGAACAAAAGCAAATCAAGTTAGTCTTGTTCAGAAAAGTCAACCACCGAAGCTCTCATAGGCAGGTTTTTTAAACTGGACTGCTCTAAAAAGGAACGCTTTACACCCCGGCAACTTGTTTTGGAATTAAAATTGAGACTGAAAGGTGGAGAACACAGCCCAGTTATCTTTGAGGTAATTCAGAAAAATATGACGTTTCAGTTAAATCAGCCAGTAATAATAAGAAAGACGACGGCTGTTCAGTTAACGCAGACGCCATCGTGAGACTAGCCGCATGAGGCGACACCATAACTAAACCCTTAACACTCAATGTTCTGACCGAAGGAAGCGAAGTTGATGAACCCCATCAAGCGACGAAACAGGCCAGCGAAGATGACGTCCGCGACAACGCAGTAAGGCTCACAGCAGTGAAAAATGCAGCTAGAAAGTCGGATTGCGTAAAATCGCGGTACATGTATACCAATGCCCAAAACCTCATATCGAAACTTGATGGGCTAAAAATTTTCCTTAGGGAAATTTCTCCAGACGTTATAGCAATCACTGAAACCCGGCTGACTGGGATTATGAATAATAGCTAAGTAGCATTAACTGGATATCTTCCTCCGAAGAACTACCGATTCCAAGCTTAAGCAATACACTCTTTTCAGAATATCGTATCCGAAAAGAATTAGAGGCATTCAAAGGATCGAAGTCTATGGGACCAGGCCAGATTACACCCAAGCATCTCAGAGAATTTGCCGGTGAGCTTTCTATACCTTTTTCGATGCCCTTTCAAAGGTCATTTAACACTGGGACATCTCTAGTCGATTGGAAGCTGGCGCATATAACTCATCCATACAAAGGCAGTGGTCGGACGTAGACGCCAAATTACAGGCCCTTAAGCTTATCATGCATTCTCAGCAAACTTATGGAGAAAATCATAAAGAGCGAATTGGTGCAGTTCCCAGAAGTCTGCATTTTGCTATCTAACTGCCAACATGGGTTCCAGAAGGGAAGATCCCGCTCGAAAAACTTGCTGCAATCTCTCCAGAGCTTGAATGGAGGTTTCGACGACAGGCACGCGGTCCACATAGGTTTCATTGACTTCCAGGAGGCGTTGGACACTGTGCTACACCAGAGACTGTTATACAAGCTGGAAAGAATAGAGAACAGATTAATTTCCTCGAATGGATCGAAAACCTCCTTGTGGATCGGCACCAGGTTGTGGGCATAGGTCAAAGACAACGGATTCTGCTATGGTCGAGAGT